ATAGTTTCTCATCAATTAGCTATAACCTTGTTCTTATTTAGAAAAAACATATTTTCTTCAGAAACCCTAACAAACAGTGAGAAAATCAAGGTTTTGAGCTATCATGAACTTTATTAGAATTAAAAGTAGTTGGTTATTCTTATTCAGATATAACCTCTCTCTAATGAGTTCACTACTCTCGAGATGAAAAAAAATTAAAGCAAAAAAATAAGTTTTTTGTGTTTTTGTAGAATTTTATTTATTGACTAGTTTGTGTGTGATTTTAACCACACGTCATCAGAATCTCTTGGTAAGTTGTGGGTGTGGGTGGGTGTGGGTGTGGGTGTGTGGGTGTGGGTGTGGGTGTGGGTGTGGGTGTGGGTGTGGGTGTGGATGTGGGTGGGTGTGGGTGTGGGTGTGGGTGTGGGGTGTGGGTGTGTGGGTGTGGGTGTGGGTGTGGGTGTGGGTGTGTGTGGGTGTGGGTGTGTGTGTGGGTGTGGGTTTCTCTCTACTAATACCGACACCCACACCCACACCCAAATTCATCTTATCGCATTAATCAAAGTTATCAATATGAATCGAAAAAAAAATTAATTTTACGCATATAAGTTTCGGTGTGGCAGTATCATGTGCAAAAATGTTGATCAATTCTTTCTCAATTGCAATCTTAATATGGTTTACTTTACCTTTATAATACTGAGCAATATTTTCATTGATGATAAGCTTCGATACGATTGAGACGTCAATAAAGAGTTACACGACTTTTGGCCCACGAATTTTTCGTCTCGGACTTTCGGACCGAACCTTGATTTATCTAATTAATTTTATAAATAACTAGTAAATTTCATGGTGCTCAGCACTATGGGTGTAGGTGTGTGAGTGTGGGTGGGTATGGGTGTGGATGTGAGTGTGGGTGGGGTGTGGGTGTAATCTTCTATTCTCCCACACCCACACTCTAAACTTCAATATAATTATTTCACGTGAACGACAAATTGAAATTAAAATGATTAATCAAAAAGATTTTTATTTAATTGAAGAAACTTTTTTTTGGATAAATCGATGGGCTTGAATTCATATTTTAATTATTTTTAGTTGTTTTTCATTTCAAACATATTTTATTAAACGTTTGTTTAAAACAGCAAGAAAATAAAAAATTTGTTTGTGTTAGTATTCATACGAAAGATGCTATAATGGATAAATAACATTCAATCAATTAGTATCATTGTTTTTTTGCTTTATGTGTGTGCATCTTTTAGATTGTTTTAGCATTGAAAAAGTTCATCATAATCATCAATTTAATTTTGAAAATAAATTTCATGAATACCAATTGCATTATTTTATTTAATGCCTATTTTCAAATTCCTCAAAAAAAAATTAGTCTTGAAAATGACTTTTATAGAAATTTTACATGAATAAATCAATAAAGCGAATTAAAGAAAAGTAGTAACATTCAATAGAATTTACTTTATAGGTACATAAAAAAATTGTACTTCATGTTGTATATTAAAAAACATAAATATGTATAAGAATGGAAGGTTGTTAGTGTCATAATCTACGCAGTTTCAAGTTTGATGTGCTACTCCTGTTAAAAATAAATAAGATTGAACTAAAGGAAAATACAAGTAATTGATAGTGTTAACATCCTGTTGCAAGACGGCTGAGTTTTGAGTCATTGCAATAGCTGTCATTGCTGTTTTGATACACTGAGAATATTGATTAAGTTGAAATTCCAATTGTACCATGTGTACATGATTGTTGAAACGATTTATATGCGAAAATGGTAGACGATGTTCGGACATCTTGGCAAATTTTCGTCTCCATTCAAGAGCATCATCATAACGTCCTTGTTTTGCACAGATAATTGCAATATTATGATACGACGAAAAAATATCTGGATGATCTTCTGATAGAATACGCCGACGTAGCTCATAGCCTTTCATCAGATATTCGAGAACATTGTCAAGTTGATTAGCATACAAATATGTAAGACCTATGTTGTTAAGAAATGTTGCACAATCAGGACTGTCAGGTAAACATTTGGATTGAATTTCATAAGCTTGCTGATAGTAAAGTAAAGCTTGTTCAAAGTTTCTAGCATCTTTAAATACGCCCGCCAAATTGTTTAATGCAGTGGCTGTAAAAGGATGTTGATAGGGCACTTGAAAAGAATACATTTCAATTGCTTTTCGAATTGTTTTCCATGCATCTGCAAGTCGATTTGTATTCTTGTACAACAGAGATAAGGAACAACACACATGTGCAATATTGATAGAATAGAGTTTGTTCTGATTATGTATAGCATTGAGATATAATAATAATGAACGCTTGAAATATATTTCGGCCGTAGAATTATCTCCCAAAAACATAAAAGAATTTGCTATTTGACATAAATTGTTCGCCATTGGAGCTATATCATCCGGAACGTATTGAGATTCGGCTAATCCGCATTGTGCATGCTCAAGAGCTTCCTTATATTGACCTTTTCTCGTAAAGACGACACTCATGTTGTGGTGTAAGTTAGATTGATCTTCATGTGTGCCAGACTTTAACGAATCTTGCATATTTCGATAAAAGTGTTCGGCGCGATTATGGTCACCTGAAGAATTCAAAATAAGACCGAACATGAGTGGACTTTTGTTATCTTCTGCATTTATCAATTTGGAATAGTATTCATATAAATCTCGAAGATCTTCTTCTTTCGAGAGTTCGAGTTTAACATAGTATCTTTGATCTTTGTCATTTATCAGGATTATATCAATTATACGAAATACAGCTCCGGCTGAGAATAGTATTTCTTCTTCAGCAGATATATAACTTTCATCTTTAATATTAGCAAATCGAACTGTATTTTGAATGTTTGTATCAATTTTAATCTCGAAAAGAACTGGTTCATATTTAGGACGTTGAGATTTGTCACCACAATACATTTTTGCGACTTCGATATTAACAGTGGTTGACAAGAATGAGTTAAATGAAACGAGACCACCGATGTTTTTTCGTAGCAATTCGAAATCGTTTCGTCGCATTCGACTGCCTCGATATACGATCAATATAATATTCTTCTCCTGAAATTGTTCGGAGTGTAGTTGAACGATTCGATTATGAATATCAGCAATAAAAGAACGAAATTTGTATACTTCCTCAATGTTTTGACTTCGGAATGCAGCATTTAACTGTCGAAAAAGAAAACATGGTCGTGTATACCATTTGATAGCATTTTCCACAGTTTGCGTTTTTTCGAAGTCATTGATCACAGTAAGTTCACACTCATTACCCTGATACTTTGATCTACACACAATGAGTAAATCTTTTCTATTTGCTTCTGTTTGTTGCATTCGATGGATAGTTTCAATAAGAAGTTGAAACCATACAAATTGAGATTTCTCCTCAAATAAATTGCGGAATAATTTCTGATTTTTATCATTTGCACTCATAACGCCAATCGGAAGTCGTCCATCATCATCATCTTCATACTTTTGTGCTTGACTATCTGAGAGATCTTCTACTAGTTGAGTGTAAAGAGAATCTTGGTCGGTGAAAATATGACAAATCTTGGAATGTAATTTATTACTAGTAGATGAGTTCATTTTTTCATTGAGAACATAAATATTTTCAATTGAAGAATATCCACATGTGTTCTTAATCTCTGTAATAAATGCTTCAGAAAATTCCGCATCTACAATAATGAAAACTCTTCGTTCTTGTACATTACAAATTGATGAGAGACATTTGTTTAAATCGGTGAACCTTTGAATATCATTGACAAGCGGTGCTAGACGATCGCAAAAATCAATACATTTTTCGTCATTACAATTTGTAGAAAGCCATAGAACAGAAGATTCAAAACTACTTTTATCGACAGTGACAATACATTCCCGTAATACTCTATCCATGTCGCCAATGACATCAATCGACGGTTCACAGACCAATAGTCCCTCTTCGTTTGACTTATGATAAATAATTATTGATCCAGCACGGTCAAATTCATTTAAAGAAGGAATTTCGATAGATGCTTTACTTAAGAAATCATCGATCTCGTTATTTTCATCGATAGAAAGACAATCAATAGTGAAATCACTAAAATAGGAAGAATATAATGAGAAGTTCAATGTCTTTTAAAATACGAAAAAGAACATGAGACATGTCCTGAAAATATTCATGTTATTTCCTAAAATGTTTTATAATTGATATAAGGTAGCGAAAATGCAAAATTTCAGTAAAATTTTTTTTCGTTTGTTTATATGTGGTTTGATAGAGCTTGAAAAGCTGATCACGAATATATATTTTTTTTATTTCGATTCGATCACTGTTTGCCAGAGAAAAACGCTGAAAAAGTTGAATGACTAAAAATCAGCTTTTTTCGATGAATTACATTTTTCTAGAAAAATTAAAAAATATTTTTTTCAACTTTTCTTTGAAATTTTTAAAAATACTATATTCTGAATCAGCGTGAAAAACTGAATAAAACGGTGTTATTCGAATAGATGTAGAGTCGTTAAAACTAAAACAATTCCTTCTGATATACACAGACCCCTTGCACAAAAAATATGTATTGGTGGCCATTACTGTAAACCTATCTAGTTTTTTGCTACAAGAGATAGAAGCAACTTTCTTATCTCATTAGAATCGTTACACCATGGGCTATAACGGTTACCATTTAGTTTTTTAAAATTCTTCTCTATTGTTCAAAAAAATCTATATTTTATAAAAATTGTGCGAAAACCAAGAAAATCAGTTTTTTGTGAAATCTTTATTTTCGATATATTATCACTTTTCTGTCTTTATATACGTAAAAATTCAATAAGAATTCAATAGGTATAATCTAATGATTACCAGAACCTATTCAAAAACAGTCTAAAACTCACCTTTCATCAAAAAGGAAAAAAGTTCACAAGCACTTTTTATTTTACTTCCTGCACATGAAGTGCATTTTCGAGAAGGTATTTTTTGTGGTTCCACCAGAATATAGCGGTTAAAAAGGACTCTCTACAGCTTTATCCTGTTACATGAACATGTTTTTTATAGCTTTTAGTTTCCCTATCAATGCTTCGTGTATATATTTTTTCTTTCTGATTAGTCCACATATGCTTCATCTCGTTATATATGTTACTAATCGTTTATGTGTTTGCTTGCTCGTTCTTCCTGTATTGTGTGTATCGGAATACGTGTTTACTTCTTCGCAGATCTTTATCTGTGTGGAGCTTGCTACATTCTGTGAATTGTGCAGTTCGAGCTTCATTTTTTACTATTCAACTTCGTTGTAAACAAATACTTTGGTTTTAGCTATTCAAATAGGCTCTTTAAATGCAACACTAATTAATTTCTAATATTTTAGTACGCCAAAATAAAATAACCGTTGTTTTAAATGAAATATTTATGCTAGCAAACGTTGATGGAACCGAATTCTTTATTTGAAAATGAAAGTTTATGAAAATAAGATATTCACGAGGATATAGTTGATATTGTGAAATTCATTTGTTTTACTAATTAACTTAAGATTTATGATTTTGAAGCTTTGTTCGAGTTGATTAAGGATAAAATTTCTGTAAAATATGTTACGCTATTAATATACATCACTGCTCGTCATTTTAAGGTAAAGTGAGCTGAATAGGATAAATTATTTAAGAAAATCGGAGTAATACCGAGGGTGTGGGTGTGGGTGTGGGTGGGTGTGGGTGTGGGGTGTGGGTGTGTGGGTGTGGGTGTGGGTGTGGGTGTGGATGTGGGTGTGGGTGTGGGTGTGTGGGTGTGGGTGTGGGTGTGGGTGTGTGGGTGTGGGTGTGGGTGGGGATATATTCTCGTCACACTCATACCCACACCCACCCACACCCACACCCACACCCACCCAAATGCAATAAGGTTTGCTCTTTTTAGTTTGCAGATCATCGCCGTCAGCTAGACACAAGTAACGCTCGTCTGTGTGACTCGCTTAACCCTCGACTGAATATTTCACTGCATCGGTAGTTGTTTATTGCTGCAGACGTTTTGTAAAAGGTAGCATCTGGCGTTTGCACATGGCTTTGTGCTGGTGTCAACATTAATGTGCACATCTGTGTCGGCGTGTACAGTGCTGTTGGTATCATTGTGATACTGCCGGCTATACCATTCGTTCATTTAATCTGTTACTCTATCAGTAACAATCAAAAGAAATCCGCGCGACTCACACTGACACAGCAATATCCTCAGACCACGAAAAAAAATAGTATATTCGATTTGCAGAGAAAATCAACACACAAAATATATCAGTGTGACTGCAGTAAAGATGCCCTACACTTTTCGCAAACTATACTAATAATGTGTATAGTCATCAATACATTGGGTGGTAATATCACTGGCCGGTACCCCCTACGAAAATGCATATTCAGCGGAGCTATCAGACTAAAAAGTATATTTATTCAAACTAATATTCGGTATATGCAACTTGAATGAGGCTTCAACTCTGAATCTTTGTGGGATTAAACAATGAATTTCAAATAGCCGGGAAAAAAATTTGACAAGTTAATAGACAGACGACGTATCCATGAAGACAAAAGATCATTTAATTCATTCCATTCAAATCTGCTTTTAATGATTCGATGCAAATTGTTTTATTGACGTTTTTTCGGAAAGGTTCGATTCCGATACTGAAGACGTTCTATACACTTGTTCTCACAACTTCACTCAAATATACTTATTAGCCCTCTTGCCAGTTCTCCCTCTCATGAAAACTAATAAGATCTAAACGGTAGAGATTCTTCCAATGGATTGGAAGTTTCCGAAGCGTTTTGTTCAAGAGATTTCTTAGGACAGCAGTAAGGCGCTCGTCGGCACCCCAGTGGAGCGCCACTCGCGACTAACTGCTGCTATGCATCGTTCTCTTCCAGTAATTATACGATCATGTAGTGTCATTTAAATTTTACTGGATTCTACGTTTGGCTAAGTTTCAAAACTGCCTATATTTATTACATGAGCAATTCAAAAGTGAAAACACTTGTGAACTATTCCTTATGCGTTTCAATCCCTTACCTAGATACTCAATCTGAGATTTCGTTGAACTTGTCGTCGAAAGAAGCTTAAGTACATTATTCCATACAAAAAATTAGCTTAATAGACCATATCTCACACAAAAAAATTGTGAAATAGGAATATGAGCTACTATATTTCACTATCAGAGTTCCGACGTCGCGCTACTCACACTTAGCTACTACCGTCTTTGATCACATATTCCCAAATGACTACTTTCTTATTCAAGGCATGACTAATCCACATTTCAACTGCTTTAAAAGCTTCTCTACTTGTAATTAAAGAGTACTACATTTCCTATATCAAGCAAGATATCTTTTAAATACATACTCGTCGTCTATCGAGTTTCTCCATGTTTATAGGAGCCCTTCTTTACATAAAGTGTCATTGGTTAAGTCTCAGTGGTGCTTTTCTAAGAACCTTGCCTGATGTTATGCAGAAATGTCGTAAAACAGATTTTGAATAAACCTAGTTTGGTGGCAGCTACTCGTTCCCCAGTCTCCCAAAAGGACGGCATTCACGGCTAGCCACTACTTCCAGCTACTTTACACTCACGAAAGGTTGATGCCATTTTCATAATCGAGCCATCGTTCCTGTTTGAAAAACTGATGAAAAGTTTGATCCGTTACAAAAAAAATTCCTCTACATTAGAAATTTTCTTTGGAAGTTTATCAGTATATAGGAATAGGACACGTTGATATAGACTTACTGATAATCTGAAATCTTCTTAATAAGTGGACACAACCGTTGTATCCTGTCAACCTAAGTAATTTTTTTGCGTAATTTGCTCTCATTCTTCAATCTTTGTTCTACAAGTACTCTAATTCCATCTTATCTTCGTATTTCTTGATTCATTACACTGCTGTCACGCATTACAAAGTACTTACAGTTTCTTAGCATCACTTCTCAGAGAACGAAAAGATTC